GCAAGCATAACCGCCCCATTGCTTTATTCCAAGCTTCGTCTCCACAGTAAGACAAAATGCTCCTTTCCAATATATTCTCAATTTAAGATTCGCGCAAATCTCCCTGCGGTCATTTCGCTGCATTTGTCTTGATAATTGGGCGATTTGAAATAACGAAGAACAAAGCAAATACATCAGCTGCTTGCGGATCAACCTCACAGACCATGCAAGACACACCGACTACTGGATTCTAGTCAGAGGATGCACTTGACTGACAAATCGTCAAGAGAGCACATTCTATATTAATTTGCATGAATGATTTGGGTTTTAAAATCAGAGTAAATATGTCGGATTGGCATGGGCCATTCTTTACCTGCCACTCACCCAGTTTTCAATACCACTGCTGCTTCACTGTGTTGGGGATCCACGATTCCCCAAGATTGGTTTCTGATTCTATTTACATTAATTTATTAGCATTTGTTTTGTTACTCTTTTATCAAGTCGAGGTCAACCTTGACTTGAGATAGCTCTCAAATTACTTTCGATTTCACTTCTTCTCTGCACGTGGCTCACGTGAATAAAGCTCTCTACTCGAGCTCTGGTCTTGTTCTGGTATTAGCCTGGGAAGGTCGGTTCTAGCTTTCAGCAAGGGATCTGGTACCGTTACTTGAGTGGTATTCTCTATTGTTACGGGCAAACGTAACACACTGGGACTAATGTCGGATACTACTAACATGCACCGCTTGAGTGTTCATTGACGATTACTGAAGCTAGCTTGTTGCTGTGTTCCTCTCCTACTACATTTTGAGAGTCCCCTAAATTTCCCTAATATATATTCCGCAAAAGTGCTTCCAAGTTTAACATGAGTTATGCGTAATATTTCATAAAATGTGCAAAATATGTAGTGTGATTGCTTAGGTTATCATGCAGTCTTATTCTAAAATAAAGAAGAAACCAATGTATGCGAATAAGCCATCTTCGCTCACAATGTTTCGTTCTTGTGAAGAGGCCGCTTCCTGATCGGCGCAGTGGATAAAGTCGCCGTTGATGGCGGATAGTTTGGTCAAATCGAGTTTGAAATAAGCTTATTGTTGCATGAGGCACATCATTTCAAATCTAGAGTCATTGGCTTCATAACGTTGGTGTATCGGTTGAGTTATATGCACCAGACAAAGAATATGACATGTGTGCATGAAACCGTGGATGACATTTAAATTTCCGAAATGTCCTTCGCGTTCACATTGCTCGTAATGATTTACCAAAAAAGCTTATTCGGGCACCCATTTGGACCATGTGTATTTCCATTGAGAAAGGTAGATGTCTTCTAGAAAAGTGGCAAAGCGTCACATGCCAAAAGAGACACGCACACACACAAACAAACGCATTCGCACCCAAAAGCATAGAGGCATGCATAGGTGAATGGATAAGCTAGATATTACGACGGATAAGAAGAGTTGAAAATGGACATGAAAAACCGTGACATGTTTCCTTGCAATGGCGCAGCTGTAGCTCCTGGTGTCCATCCAGCACCTTGAATGTAGCAAAAATAAACACTCGTCCTCGGTTCTACATGTATACGACTTCGGACGACTAGGCACGTTGCCACATGGCAAGACAGTCAGATGCGCGCACACCGTGTGTGCGTGCGTGTGCGCGTGTATGTAGTCGCAGAAGTTGAAGCAAAGTAAGTTTGGTTACAAGGTGGTGGGTATCGTTGATCACAACAGGAGAGGATGAACTTGAGGGGAACTACCTCCGCGGTAGTAAACTGCATATATTCGTGGAGCAGCAGGGTTGGTGCGAGCGTGGCCACGGCAGGAAGGGGCACCAGAGGGCTCAGCCGATTTTGCTGAGAAAACCGGGTCTCGGGATGCTGTTTGACAGGCCACTGAAGCCACCAGTTATGGTACCCAGGATGGATCGTGTCGGACTCGAGCTGGACTCCGACTGTACTGCTATCGTGGCTTCCTCAACCTTGATCATGGGAAGTACAAAAAATAAAGCAACTGATGCAACTCAAGCGCAATCACTTTGCAACAAGAAAGTGGTTGCTGTGTCTGCAGTAAACATGCACAGATCTTCGTGTGTTATTCTAGTGGAGTCTAAAATATTCGAAATATCACTGTATTCGTAATACAGTTTCGCATCAACAAACAGATGCATTGGTACAAATCCCAAACGAAGCCCAATCGCAAGCAACCACAGCAAGAATCTCAACTGCAATTCGCATTTGTCAACATGCCAGTCGTTCACACATTATCAAACTAACAACCTCTTCTTCTGTCGGACTTGGACTCAATACAATTTACAGAACGTGATGAGTCACAGGTTTCGAGTGTGACTATTAAGTAGAACCACGAGTTTATAAGTGATGTGGGCTTACAATTACGCACAAGCGAGTCGCTCCACATACGTATTTGTAACTTGCCGGTTTATGTTGAACCACCAAAGGTACACATCGTGCCTTAATTGGTAGTGCATTGTGGGGAATCAAGTTCACTGCATGGCAACAACATGGCATCAGTGGAGGTGAAGCCGTAACCTTTACGGATCTCGGTTGCCAGTTTCAGGTTGCGTCTTCGTCTTGGCGATACAGGCATTACAAACAACTCGTAAGTGCATTTTGTCAATTCCAAGTTTATTTGCGCACTGGGTTAAAAGCACTAAAGTTTAATGCCATTTGTCTTTTGCACACTTACATTGTACGAGAAGGAGGTTAGGTACTATAAGGCAAGCCCGCTTTGCCTACTTCTAACCGCCTAGCAGCATTGAAACACATCTGTCAGTGAATTGGGCATTTCAAAATTTAGGGCATCGTGTTACGCAAGCGCAGGGATGAATAATGTTTGTTCGGAACGAGCCCATCGAATTTCACATATTGACGTGCTCAAAGTTAGGGTAAGTGTAACGAGAAGTCGTGGATTTTATGGCAAAAGTCAGGCTGTGTAGAAATCGCTTTAATGGCTGACAGTCTGTCTAAAGTGGTTGTGTCCGGGATAGGGGGTGTGAACACCTTCCTGCATTCGCCATATCCGCAATTCACAGGAAATAGTCATCATGCCTTAGCCATTTCTCAACCAGTCTGTCCTCGAGTGGTTGTCTTCCAATCTGCGTGTCGGTGCGACAGGGCAATGTATTTTCCCCCTCCTCAGACAAACTATAAAATTTGTAGTGTTAAATTGACACATGAATATTTAACTCCTTACGAGACATTCAACGTAAATGATTGGTCAGAGTTCTACAGACTATTAAAAGACGGAAGTTTTTTGCAAGTCATTTTTCCAGCCTTTACAATCTGTTGCATAATTGCCTTTTTAATATGCTTATTGCCATTGGATTGGCCAGAGTGGAATGACAGTAGTGGAGAATTACGCTGCCAAAAAGCAGAGGAATTAGTATTGAAACAAAACCACTAGGGGATGCACATTTCAATTTAGGCTTTGATGGAACTAATGAAAGCAGTGTGACTTCGTAAAGCTTCCAAATCGTTTCAATGAGGGCAATACAATTAGAGAGAGAGAGATTGGGAAATGAAAAACAACTTTCTAGCATGCAATTCATACCTGTAGCCTCTGAGAAATGGTCTTGTACATCATTGTGTCCAGCGCATCAGGGGAAATCCCCTGCAGTTCGAAATCGGAATACATTTTCTGTAAGGCAAATGAACGCCCTTGTCAATTGGCGAATTTGTTTCCGACTGGGCATCTGGACCCATCAGGCATTTTGGAACAGATTTTACTAGGTAAATTTCTAAAAGGCTATTCAGTGGCTTCCTACATTAATCGGTGGTGTCAAGTATTATGTTGTTATGTGCACCGTCACTTAGCGCCGAGCAGCAACCTCGTGTCTCAGTGAATTTGGGCGTCGCTTGTGGTCTGTTTGGATCATCCTGCTTCCTGCAGAATTGGGCAGAGTGAAGGGAAACCCATCTAATTGCTTGTCTGGACTCAATGCTTGTGGACGCAGTTGTGTTGTAGTGGCAAGGACGGCAACAGGCACCTACCTTCATAATTGTTGAAAGACAGGTGAACTGGTATGGATGCAGGGAATGGTTCTTTCGATCATTCAACCACTCATTAATCACCCGAGTCTGCGTCATGTACCAGGTCTAAAATAAATGCATGGGACAGTGTTACTGACGTCATTTGCTTACTGTTGATGACACTAAGGAGCAACGAGTCGTGGATATATGGTCTAAGCACAAATGAACCTTTGTTTGCTCCAAATATGAATTATTGCAGTATTAGACAACTGATAAAATTAGACTGTCTTTTGTTTGTCCAATGACGGCTATTCGAGTAAAGCCATTTGTGTTTACTGTTGTTAACGCAGGCGCATTTTATAACTATTAGTTGTGATTGAGGAGGCGTGATTAGCAGCCAAATCACCAAATTTAACCAATTTAACATATCACTAAACGGATTGACAAGTGTGATGTCAAAAGGGTAAATTAGTCTCCCGTAACATTTCCTGGTGCATGAGTTTCCCTCCTTCTCATTGAGCCTCGTTACTTTTGAAAACTACTTGTTGATATATGCACACAAGAGATTTCGTTAAAAGTGCTTCGAAAATTGTCACCACAGACTACCTTAAGAGGGCTCTTCAAATCACTGAGCTGTTAGCCACTAAGCTTTATGTGATTGTGAGAGTGAATTTACGCAAAGATGCGCACTAATTTAACTAGATCCGATCCATTTTGTCGCATATTGAAGTCAACACTGAAAACCTACACGATTGTTATTTCTTCTGATGTCAAAGCTAGTTGATAATGTTAACCAAACTAGTACTTTTCAAAGAATAACAATATCCTGACCCCTGGTTTAGTCAGTGAGCAGTACATTGGTTTTGCCTTTCATGGAGATTGCTCAATGCACATCTCATCTACCCTTTGTAACAGGCATTTGGTAAGACTAAGTGTCTTGAAATGGCATCATTATTAACATATAAAATTGGCATTTGTAACAAAAGGAAGACGAAAACAGCAAATCTATTCACAACATCCACCACGCACAATGTACAGTCTAACTTTTAAGGAAAATATCCTGCAATGCGGTAGTCAGTTCGTCCAATTTATCCAAAAAGTCGTCCTCATTAGCTTTGTCACCACTTTCATCCAACCAGGTCTGTGTCGCCTGGCACAATTCCTGGATCTCCTCGGAATCAAGGAACTTGTCGTGGGTTTCCCGAAGCCTAGTCTCCAGTCGATCTCTCGCACGCGACTTGCGTTTTTGTGACAGTTGCTTCAATCGAGCAATTTGGTCCTTGTAATCTGCCTCACTGGCTGTTCTGGCGGTTTCCTGCATCCACCGTCGGATCTCGTCGCACTCCTCGCGCACAGCTGCATTCGAGCGAAGACTGTCAGCGAGTTCCTCAAGCTCATGCCGAGCTCGGTTCCTCGCTTCTTCTATTTGTTCAAATTCTCGAATTTTTGCTTCAATTTCCTCGTCACTTGCATTCTCACTGCTTTCAAGCCAACGAAGCACACCTTGACACTTTGCCTCGAGAGCTGGCTGTTTCTGCAGAGCGTAAGCCTTTTCCTGGAGGGTTGTGACCAGCTTTTGCCTTCGTGCGTGCCGCTGGCTTCTACGCTGCATGTCTTCCTCCATGTTGCGGTGTTGGCGTATTTCCTCGTCCGTGAATTGTTTTCGGTTCCTCTTAATCACAATCCCCTTAGATTGACCAGTAGAGACGACGCATGCTGTAACCTCCAGAATGCAATTTGCATCAACTACAAATGTGACATCGATGCCCTCCTTTCTGGCTGGAGCTTTTGGTATTCCACCTATCACAAAATTATCAAGTTCGATATTTTTAGCAGTGTCTCGGTTCTCTCCCTCAATTACTTGAATACATGCTTCTGTTTGGTTGTCACGAGTTGTGTAGTACCTTTCGGTGTGGGTTACTGGAATGAGGGAATTGCG